ATTGCAGAAGCAGTGACTGTCATGGTAGGAAGAAACTAAAGCAAATCAGAGAGCACGAAACTGAAAACTAAGAGATTCCCATCTCCTTCCAACTCCTGCCTACCCACCCCAGCCCTGCTCACTAGAGGCAACCACTGAGTGGTACCTGATTTTGTTCTGGTAGTTAACATTATATTCCTATAAAATCTTTTAACCCTGGTTTAGATTAACAGCTTTAGACAATGTAGACCTTTTGCTATAAAATATGAAGAAACTTTTTTATCAATTCATGAGCCTTTCTTCTCAGCTTCAGTTTGTAAAACAGTTTTTACCTTGAAAAGGTCTCTGACATTTATTATTACTGGTGTATAATGTCTTGTGCTTTTTCGTAGACTAGTTTATTAAAAATAGAATGAATTATGACCACATGTTACATGTATATTCTCCTTAGAGCTACATATATATGTATATCATTCTAAGATACTAAACTTTGTTGATAAAAGGGGAATCTTCTAGGTACTCCCGTCTAATATTCTTTCTCTCCCAGCCTGCAGTACAATGGCATAATCTCAGCTCACTGCAAAATCTGCCTCTCAGGTTCAAGCAGTTCTCATGCCTCAGCCTCCCAAGTAGCTGGGATTAGAGACGCTCACCACCACACCCGATTAATTTTTTTTTTTTTTCTGTCTTGCTCCATTGCCTAGGCTGGAGTGCAATGGCACGATCCCGACTCACTGCAACCTCCGCCTCCCAGACTCAAGCGATTCTCCTGCCTCAGCCTCCTGAGTAGCTGAGATTATAGACACACACCACCACACCTGAATAATTTTGTATTTTTAGTAGAGATAGGGTTTTGCCATGTTGGCCAGGCTGGTCTCAAACTCCTGATCTCAAATGATCTGCCTGCCTCAGCCTCCCAAAGTGCTGGGATTAGAGGCGTGAGCCACTGAACCTGACGGAATGTTCTTTCTTGAGTCTGTCTCTGAGTACTTTTCTTCATGTAGGGCTCATGGTGGCAAAATTTTTTAGCTTTAGAAAGCCTCAAACAACTTTATTTTATCTTCATGTTTGCTTTGAAAGTTTAGATGAATATAAATATCCAGATTTTAAATTTAAAGACATTGCTCCTATTATCTTCCAGTATTACATTCAATGTAGATAAAAAGTCAGTAAGAGTCTGATTCTCATGCCTTGCTTAATGATGTGTTTTTTTCTTTCTGTGAAGTATTTATAATTTTTTCTAATCCTTATAAAATTTTCAGCAGAATGTTTAAATGTAAATCTTTCCTTAACTAATCTTGCTCAGCATTTTGTGGAACCTTCCCACATGAAGATGCATGTCTTATTTTAGCATAGGGGCGTTTTCTTAAGTTACTTCATTTCATTACCTCTGTTGTTTATATCTTCTGCACTTCCTATTTGATGGGCTTTCAACTGTTGGGACAGGGCCTCTATGTTTTAAAACTGTTTGTTTGTACTTTACATTTCATGGTCTTTCTATTTGCTGTTCTCAGAAATTTCTTTGAATTTATCATTCACGTTTAAAAACTTGATCTAGATGAGGCACAGTGGCTCATCCCTGCAATCCTAGCACTTTGGGAGGCTGAGGCTGGTGAATCACTTGAGCCCAGGTGTCGAGACCAGCCTGGGCAACATGATGAAACCCTGTCTTTACTAAAGGTACAAAAAATAAAAAATTAGTCAGGCATGCCTGTAGTCCTAGTTTCCCAGGAGGCTTAGGTGGGAGGATCATCTCAGTACAGGAATGTTGAGGCTGCAGTTAGCTGTGTTCATGCCACTGTACTGCAGCCTGGGTGACAGAGCCAGGACCCTGTTTCAAAAAACATAATAAAATAAAATGAAAGCTTGGTCCTATACAGCATCTAATTTTAATTCCACCCATACAGTAATTTTTTTCGGTGATCATATTTTTAATTTCCAAGATTTCTTGTTTTCTAGTTGTTTATTTCTTCATAGACTGCTCTCGTTTTAAGTCTGTCATGTTCTTAATCTCCTTAAGGATACCAAATAGAGGTTTTGTTTGTTTTAATTCTTTCCAGTTGAATGAGTCCATTTTCACACTGCTGATAAAGACATACCCAAGACTCGGCAATTTAAAAAAGAAAGGATTATTGGACTTACAGTTTCATGTGGCTGAGGAGGCCTTACAATCATGGCAGAAGGCAAGGGAAAGCAAGGCTCATCTTACGTGGATGGCAGCAGGCAAAGAGAGAGATTGTGCAGAGAACCTCCTATTTTTAAAACCATCATATCTCATGAAACCCATTCACTATCACAAGAACAGCACAGGAAAGTCCCGCCCCCATGATTCAGTCATCTCCCACCAGGTCCCTCCCACAACATGTGGGAATTATGGGAGCTACAAGATGAAATTTGGGTGGGGACACAGAGGCAAACCATATTGTTCCACCCCGGCCCCTCCCAAATCTCATGTCTTCACATTCACTCTGTTACTTTACTGTTTTAGAAAGCACTTAAGTATAATACTTAATCTACTGTATTAAAACTGCATACAGCCAGGCATAGTGGCTCATGCGTGTAATCTCAGTTCTTTGGGAGGCTGAGGCAGGAGGATCACTTGAACCCAGGAGTTCAAGACCAGCCCAGACAACATAGTGAGACCTTGCCTTTACAAAACATTTAAAAATTAGCTGGGCATGGTGGCACGTGTCAGTGGTCCCAGATATTCAGGAGACTGAGGTGGGCACTTGCTTGAGCCTGGTTGTGGAGGCTGCAGTGAGCTGTTGTCATGCCACCACACTCCAGCCTGGGTAACAGAGCAAAATCCTGTCTCAAAAAAGGAAAAAAAAAAAAAAACTGTATCCAGTGCTTATGTATTATCCTAATTTCTAATTTCTAAAAATTAAAGACCCACCCCTCCCAAATATTTTCTTCCTTCATCAGAATGTTCTGTTACCAGCCAAAGATTTCTTTTTGTTAGCTTGCAACCTGCCAGGAATAAAGGCAAACAGAGGTAAATAGGGTGAAACATTGTGATTATGAAGAATTCTGAGTGGTTTTAGAGATATGAAAGTGTCATCATTTTGTTTTGTGGTAGGGGAAAAGGAAATATTGGTAAAGGAAACATTGAAAATTGAGGTAAATACCAGTATTTGAACTTTAAAAATGTAGCCAGAATGTTCCTAATGTAGCAACATTTCAGAAATTATGCTTTGTATTCATTAGTTTTTATTTTTGTTTTTGGTTTTTTTTTTGAGACAGAGTCTCGCTCTGTTGCCAGGCTGGAGTGCAGTGGCATGATCTCAGCTCACTGCAACCTCCGCATCCTGGGTTCAAGCAATTCTCTTGCCTCAGCCTCCTGAGTAGCTGGGACTATGGTGTGCACCACCACGCCCAGCTCATCTTTGTATTTTTAATAGAGACAGGGTTTCACCATGTTGGCCAGGCTCCTCTTGAACTCCTGATCTCAAGTGGTCCGTCCACCTTGGCCTCCCAAAGTGCTGGGATTACAGATACGAGCCACCTCACCTGGCCTGTTGCTTTTTAAATGGATAAAATTGACAGGACTTTGAGTAAAACCTTTTTATTAACTCCATCATAGATGGAGTTAATTCAAGTTTCTCAATGCCGCTGGTTACTGGAACAGTTCTAAGGCTCTGCTCATGTACAGACATCACATTCCATCCCCCTGTCCTTATAGGACTTCAGCAACATAGCTGGTTAACTGCAGTTTTACCGTGAATTTCTTGGGAAATGAAAGATACATTATGGTGCTGTAGGTCAAGTGTGAAGTATGTGTCCTATTTTGTGAATTATTGCAACAAAACTAAATCAATGAAGGGATTTTGCTAAGAAGTGGTTACCAGCATTCACAAAGCTGGCTACTGGGTGAAAAAACCTGAATTCTCACTTTTGCAAATAACTGCATGACACTATTACCTAATGATTCCTTTTCTTTTTTTCAGTTCCTTTTGCATTATGTATGTGTTTTCCCAAATGTGTTCTGGAAGACATTATTGCTACAAGGTCCTCTGGAAGACATTTCGGGGACCCTGGTTAAAACAGTTAAAGAAAAGCTGTGTACTAGATCTGTCTCTAAGAAATGCATTGGCTGGGTGCACTGGTTCATTCCTGTAATCCCAGCACTTGGGGAGGCCAGGGTGGGCAGATCACTTGAGGCCAGGAGTTCAAGACCAGCCTGGCCAAATGGTGAAACCCCATCTCTACTTTAAAAAAAAAATTAGCAGGATGTGGTGGTGTACGCCTGTAGTTCCAGTTACTTGGGAGGCTGAGGCTGGAGGTGAGCCCAGAAAGCTGAAGTTATAGTGAGCCGAGAGTGTGCCACTGCACTCCATCCAGCCTGGGCACTGGGAGTGAAACCCTATCTCAAAGAAAAAAAAAAGAGAAATGCACAATGTGTAGTTCCATGCTAAAGGCTCTGAGAAGTCTTACAGAAAAGAAATTTAAATCTTTTGGACCTATTTATTGACATCTGTATGAACTGTTTCATAAAATCCACTTCAGGAATCTGTATTAGCTGCTGTCCAAGGATCAAACATCTAGCATTCTAGTTCCAGTAAAAAGTTGTATATAAATAAATTGTGTTATATGTAGTACTTTAATATCAGTGTGGAATCCTTAAAGAAACACTGAAAAAAACCTTTAATTATACAGGATCTTTGTACAACATCATGGATTTTTAAACATAGAAACACAAAGAAGCATTGTTTTGTCCTGTGAATACCAAAACTTTGATTTGGAATTATTGGTGAAAAATAAGCAGGATCAAACATTTCCATACTTTTTAGGAGTTCTGTGCAATACCTCAAATTCTATCCACAATGTTCCTACAAAGTACAGTTTGATGTTAGACACTCTTTACATCCAAGTATTTTCTTTTGTTTAATGTAATTTCAGCTATTATTGGCTCAATATATAGATTCCTAGTGATCTTTTATATTTATTGTTTATAAAATAATGTTTGGCTTCCCAATAAGAAAGTTAAAAGGAAATTCAAGGTGTTTTCCTCTTGCTCATAGGATGGGTGCTGCAGACAATATATATAAAGGACGGAGTACATTTATGGAAGAACTGACTGACACAGCAGAAATAATCAGAAAAGCAACATCACAGTCCTTGGTTATCTTGGATGAATTAGGAAGAGGGACGAGCACCCATGATGGAATTGCTATTGCCTATGCTACACTTGAGTATTTCATCAGAGATGTAAGTATCCTGTAACCTGTATTTAAAAGAAATTAATTTTTAAATTATTTTTAAATGACAGTCATAATTGTATAGATACATTTTTTTGTGATGAGACATTTGAAATTTATTTTCTTAGTTATTTTGAAATACATATTATTATTGACTGTAGTCATGATACCATTATGCAATCCCTGAATACCCTTTTGTACATGGATGATACATAATATACACCTTACTTCCTGATTGCAATCTCCAAATACTCAAAATTATCTTTTTTATAATTGACTACAGCCCTGCAAGTGATCATTAGAATGCTACACATTGAATTCAGACAAATTGACCCTAAATAATGTTTGTAGTTGTTTGATATATGTTCCTTTTTCTTGCTAATTCAGTATAAATCTGCTTGTACGAAAAAGGCCTCCCTGGCAATATTTTCATCCAGAATTGTACCTTATTATCCTTGGTCAACCCTAAATCAAGAACAGGTACCATCCATCTACAGCCAAATCCCTCGAGGGAAAAACAAGGAGATAGTGCCATTTCTACTTTGTGATATCCTTTTTTTTTTTCACCAACATCTTGAAAGATCTCAGTGTGAGATCTTTGATTTCATCTCTTTGTGTCTCTATCTGATGTAGTAACATCATTCCTTCCATGCATGTCTCCTTTTTTCAGGGTGCATTTCTCAACTTTAATGTGAAATTTTGTTTGTGTCAAACTTTCCATCCCTGTCATTTCCATCTAATTCTCCCTTTCAGTTTACTTTCTCTATGTTGTTCATTTTGGTCTTTGCCTTTCAAATCTCCTCATGGCACCTGCCCTTCTCTTCTCTGTGGTCTTTCTTAGATGTTTTTCTCCCCCCATTTTCTTTCTCCTTTATCATTGTGTCTTCCCCCATTTTCATTATTCTCTCTTCCTTAAATAGCCAATAAAGGCATATTTTTAATATTTCTTTTCAAAAAGCAACACAGACATAAAATTTCTTTTTCTTTAGCCTTTTGTTGCCCTTGGTGTTTTGGGGTTTGGTTTTGTTTTTAAAGCTTAATTTTCATTTAATTTTTTTCCAGAAGATAGTTTTTCTTCTGTCCCTAGAGACTCAGATTCATACATTCATGGAGATCATGGGGCAGCATCCTCAGATCTGAATTGGAGTGGGGTTGTTTGGTCCTCTAGGCTTCATGAGAATGGTTCCTGACCACCTTGCTGTGAGTGGCATAACTCCTGCAGTAATATAGTTTCACACTGCTTGGGAAGCACATAGACATCAAAGACATTCAGTTTGGAAATGTCCCTGACATCTCTACCTTGTACTGTATTTCAAATGACAAACTTCTTAATGGCTTTATCCTCAGGTGTGCATCCAACACAGTTTGTGCAGCAAATAGGTTGCACCTAGCTATGGCCCTTTTAGGCACAACTGTTGTTGTTCTTCTTCTTCCTCCTCTTCTTTCTCCTCCTCGTCCTCTGTTTTTGTTTTTGTTTTTGTTTTCATTGTTGTTTTTGAGACAGGGGTTCACTCTGTCACTCAGGCTGCAGTGCAGTGGCATGATCATGTCTCACTGCAGCCTCAGCTTTCCTAGGTCCAGGTGATCCTTCCACTTCAGCCTCCCAAGTAGCTGGGACTACAGGCACACACCAACCTTGCCCAGCTAATTTTTGTATTTTCTTTATAGACAGAGTTTCACCGTGTTGCCCAGACTAGTTTTGAACTCTTGGGCTCCCTCCAGTGATCCACCTGCCTTGGCTTCCCAAAGTTCTGGGATTATAGGCATGAGTTACTGTGCCCAGCATTCTTTCCTTTCTTTGTTATTTTGGCAGTGAAGACCCAAGAGAGACTCAGGTTTTGTTTAAACATTTGTTTAGATTACACAGGTAATTACAACACTTTTTTTAAAAGGAATTTTTTGTTTTGCTTTAAAAAATTTATTTGCAGAAAGATGTAACTCAGGAGCTTTAATCATTATAGAATCTACATTATAGAAACTAATATACAAAAGTATATTCATTTTTTATATTAACCTTGTATCCTACAACATTGCTAATTCCAGTCTGTGTGTATGTTTGTCAGTTCTTTTGAATTTCCTACATAGGCCGTCATGTCAGCTACAGACAGTTTGGCTGCTTTCTTCACAATCTATTTTTTTTTCTTGTCTTACTGCACTAGCTAGGATGTTCAGTAACAGTGTTGAAAAGGAGTAGTGAGAAAGGATATCCTTGCCTTGTTTTTGATCTTAGTGGGAAAGTTTTCACCACTAAGTATGATGTTAGCTATAGGTTGTTTGTGGATATTCCTTATCAAATTGAGGAAGTTCTCCTCAGTTCCAAGTTTACTGAGAGTTTTTATCTTGAATGGTGTAGGTTTTGTCACATGCTTTCTGTGCATCTGTTGATATGATCGTATGCTTTTTCTTCTTTAGCCATTGATTGTGATGGATTACATTAACTGGTGTTCAAATGTTGAATGAGTATTGCACACTTAGGATGAGTCCTACTTGGTTATGGTCTGTTTTTCTTTTTATACATTGTTGGATTCATTTTGCTAATATTTTTTGAGGATTTTTGCATCTATGCTCAAGAGCAATATTGGCTTGTAGTTTTCTTATAATGTCTTTGGTTTTGATATTAAGGTAATTCATAGAATGAGTTAGAAAGTATATACTCTTCTCCTATCCTCTGAACAAAACTGTAGAGAATTGGTAAAATATCTTTCTTAAATGTTTGTTAGAATTCACCAGTGAAGCCATCTGGGCCTATGCTTTTTGTTTTTGGAAGGCCATTGACTCAGTTTCTTCAATAGATAAACCTATTCAGATTTTCTGTTTTTTCTCGTGTGCAATTTGGCTGATTGTGCCTTTTAAGGAAATGTTTTTCAGAAAATTTTCACCAAGGTTTCCAAATTTGTGGACATAGAGTTGGTCATAGTATTCCCTTATTATCCTTTTGATTGTCCATAGCATCCATAGTGTTGTCCTTTTTATTTCTGATATTAGCCATTTGTGTCTTTTCTCTTTTTTCTTAGTTACCTTGGCTAGAAGCTTATCAGTTTTCAAAGAACCGGCATTTGGTTCTATTGATTATTTTCCCCATTGCTTTCTTGTTTTAATTTCAATGATTTCTGCTCTAATTTTTATTCTTTTTTCTTTAGCTTATTTTTGCTCTTCTCTTTCTTGTGTCCTAAAATGGAAGCTTAGATTATTGATTTTAAATTTTTCTTTTCTAATGTGTTCAGTGCTATAATTTTTTTTCTTCTTCTTTTTTTCTTTTCTTTCCTTCCTCCCCTCCCCTTTTTTGAGACAGAGTCGTGGTCTGTTGCCTAGGCTGGACTGCAGTGGCATGAACATGGCCTACTGCAGCCTCGACCCCGTGGGCTCAAGTGATCCTTCTGCCTCAGACTACCACGTAGCTGAGACTACAGGCACATGCCACAACACCCAGATAATTTTATTTTTATTTTTTGCAGAGATGAGTGTCTCACTATGTTGCCCAGGCTGGTCTGGCATTTCTAGGCTCAAGTGATCCTCTAGCCTTGGCCTCCCAAAGTGGTGGGAGCCACCATTCCTATAAATGTTCTTCTTCTATGCATTGTTTTTGCTGCATTCCACAAATTTTGATAAGGTGTGCTTCCTGTTTTTATTTAGTTCCAAATATCTTAAATTTCTCATTATTTCCTTTTTGACCCATATGTTTTTTAAGAATGTGTTGTTTAGTCTCCATGTATTTGGGGATTTTCCAGTTACCTTTTTGTTATTGATTTCTAGTTTAATTCCACTGTGGTCTGAGATCAAATATTGTATGATTTTTATTATATTAAATTTGTCAACATGTGTTTCATGGTCCAGAATGTGGTCTTTCTTGGTGCATGTTCCATGTTGGCTTGAAATGAATGCGTATTCAGCTGCTGGATGAAGTATCTATAGATATAAATCATGTCTAGTTGATTGATGGTGTTGTTGAATTCAACTATGTCTTTACTGATTTTCTGCCTGCTGAATCTGTCTGTTTCAGATGGAAGAATTTTGATGTCTCTAACTATAGTAGTATATTCATCTGTTTCTCTTCGCAGTTCTATCAGCTTTTGCCTCATGTAGTTTGACATTCTCTTGTTAGATGCATACATGTTAAGGATATTATGTCTTCTTGGAAAATTCATCCCTTTTTCATTATATAATATCCTTCTTTATCCCTGACAAATTTGCTTGCTCTGAAGTCTGCTTTGTCTCAAATTATTGTAGCTACTCCAGTTTTCTTTAGAAATTAATATAGCTGCTTCAGCTTTCTTTAATGTTAACATGATATATCTTCCTCACATATATATGTGTAGTGCATATATATATATATATATGATCATCCCACCTCAGCCTCCCAAGTAGCAGGGAGTACAGGTGCATGGCACTATGCCCAGCTGTTTTCTCCCCTTTCTTAGCATATCTGTTGTATTTCTTGTTTTACTTTTCCTAGTGGTTGCCCTAGATTTTTCAAATACACTTTTACAATTAATCCAAGTCCACTTTCAAATAACACTATACTGCTTTATGGGTAATGCACTTATTTTATTAACAAAATAACCCTGATTACATTCTTCCATCCTTTGTACCATCACTGTCATTCATTTCACTTATACATAAGTGTACATAAGCATATGTATACATAGACATATATAATATCACATATACTATTGCTATTATTTTGAACAATATGTTATGTTAGATCCATTAAAAATAAGAAAAATAGGTTTTTTTGCTTTCACCGATTCCTTCTTCAGTGCTGCACTTTTCTTTATGTAGATACAAGTTTCTTACCCCTATCATTTTCCTTCCTTCTAAAGAATTTTTCTTAAACATTTCAGGATAGATCTGCTGGCTACAAATCCTCAATTTTTGTTTGTCTGAGAATGTCTTTATTTCTTCTTCACTTTTGAAGGATTATTTTGCAAGGTGCAGAATTCTAGGTTGGTGAGGTTTTTTGTTTTTTTTAAATTTTATGTCACTTTTTTCTTGCTTGTGTGGTTCCTGAGAAGTCAGATGTAATTTTTATCTTTGAGCTTGTGTGGATAAGGTGTTTCTTCCCTCTGGCTTCAGTATTTTTTTTTTCTTTATGTTTGGTTTTCTGTAGTTTGAATATGATTTGTCTAGGTGTGGTTTTGGGGACATTTATTCTTTTTGGTGTTCCCTGAGATTCCTAGACCTGTGGTTTTGTGTCTGACATTAATTTGGGGAAATTCTCAGTCATTATTGTTTTAAATATTTCTTCTGTTTCTTTCTCTCTTTATTTTCTTTCTGGTGTTCTCATTAGCTCTCTGTTATATCTTTTGTAGTTGCCCCAAACTTTCTGGATATTCTGTTTTTTTCTAGTCTTTTTCTCTTTGCATTTCTATTTTGGAGGTTTCTATTAAGATGTCCTCAAGCTCAGAGATTCTTTCCTCAGCTGTGTCCAGTCTACCAGTAAGCTCATCAAACACATTCTTCATTTCCGTCACAGTGTTTTTCATCTCTGGTGTTCCCTTTTGAATTTTTTCTTAGAATATGCATCTCTGTGCTTACATTGCCCATCTGTTCTTTCATGCTGTCTGTGTTATCCATAGAGCCCTTAGCACACTCATCCATTGCTTCCAATTCCCAGTCTGATAATTCCAACATCCCTGCCATAGCTATGTCTGGTTCTAATGCTTGCTCTGTCTCTTCACATTTGTAGGTTTTTACTTTTAGTATGTCTTGTGACTTTTTCTTGACGGCTGGCGATGATGTATTGGATAAAAGGAACTACTGTAAATTAGCTTTTAGTAATGTGGTGGTAAGGGCTACGGGAGGAGTCCTATGATTAAGTCTCAGTCTTACCTCCCTCCCACCCCTCAGGTGGGATAGGAAGGCTAGAGTGGGCTGGAGTTGGGTATTTCCTCTCTCCTATGTGATTGGCTAGAGGAGGCTAGAGTTGAGTCCCTCCCCACAGGTAGGTTAGGCTCTGATAAAACCTCAGCAGGTTAGGCTCTGCTTAAGTAGTTTCTTCTGAGGGTAGGCCTTGTTAAGAACAGCGTGCCCTGGTGCATTTCAAAATAATTATTTCCTTCTTCCCCTTACCTGAAGCATAAGCGGAATTTACTCCAATATTTATTGTGAGAACCAAGTGGAACTCCTGGAAGTAAAACTCACAAAAGTGTGCCCCTTTCTCCCATGACTTGGTTCCTCTGGACCTTTTTTTTTTTTTTAGACGGAGTTTCGCTCTTGTTACCCAGGCTGGAGTGCAATGGCACGATCTCGGCTCACCGCAACCTCCGCCTCCTGGGTTCAGACAATTTTCCTGCCTCAGCCTCCTGAGTAGCTGGGATTACAGGCACGCGCCACAGTGCCCAGCTAATTTTTTGTATTTTTAGTAGAGACAGGGTTTCACCATGTTGACCAGGATGATCTCGATCTCTTGACCTCATGATCCACCCGCCTCGGCCTCCCAAAGTGCTGGGATTACAGGCTTGAGCCACCGCGCCTGGCTCCTCTGGACTTTTTGACTCAGACTTGTTGACACTGAGCCTCCAGCAATTGACCAGTTCCACTTCCAGTTTTCCTACCCTGATACTGATTTCTTCAGAGGCTTTTGCCTGCATTTTAGCTCAGGAAAGTTGTGATTCTTTGTATCTGCTTGTCTATCTCTAATTTGAGGGGGCGGTGGTTTGCCTGTGACTTCATTTCTCTTCCAGATCTAAGAAGAGTTGTTGATTTTTCAGTTTGGTCTGCTTTTTCCTTGTGATGGAGAGGCAACCTCCAAGCTTCTTATATGCTAGACTGGAAACCAGAAACCTCCCTGACCTTTTTATGGATGAAAATCTTTATTTTCATGGTTCTTTCTCATCTTTGGATAGGGAAGAGAGATAAGAGAGGGAGCAGTAGGGGAGGTCATGTGTTGCTGCTGCAGGTCTAGAACAGCGTTGAGGAGCACAGTGTTGGATCCCAGACCCTTAGGTCTTCCAGCTAAAAATGCTTGTCAGCTCGAGAAGGAGCACCAGGGAGATAAGTGGTCCTAAGATTCCCTCAGAGCAGATTTTAAGCACAGTTTCTTAAAGAAATCCTGCCTTAATAGGTTTCTTTGTCATTGTTATCAGAAGAAGGCAGACTTTTAATAAGGTGAATGGCCTTTGAATCAAAACTGAAATTATTTGATCTAATTACCTCCTTCTGCCAATATTTAGGCTAAGATTGATATTAACTTTCCTTTACTTAGGGGTTTCTAGAATACATAAAATATGTTTTAAAATAATGCTTACTAAAGAATCCATGAGACTGGGTGCAGTGACTCACACCTATAATCTTAGCACTTTGGGAGTCCGAAGCAGAAGGACCACTTGAGCCCAGGTTCAAGACCAGCCTAGGCAACATAGTCAGACCCCTCTCTACAAAAATAAAAATTAAAATTAAAAACTAGCTGGACATAGTGGCACACACCTGTAGTCCTAACTACTTGGGAAACTGAGGTGGGAGGATCCCTTGAGTACAGGAGTTTGAAGTTACGATAAGCTATGATTATGCATTGCAGTCTAGCATGAATAACAGAGTGAGACCCTGTCCCTAAAGAAAAAAAATTTGTTAATAAAGAATTCATACTGACAGTAACAAAAATAAATTTTAAAATGGTGGAAGTGAGTGGGGAGAAGTGAAAGTGCTGCTTTACAGAATGCCAAAGAATAAATGTAGGAAGAATTTTTTAATCAACATTTATTAATCAACATTTAATAATCACTGTAATAATAACTGATTCAGGCAGTGATGATCAATAGATTATAAAACCTTTGATGAAAGATTGTTGAAGAAAAGAATATTCATATATCTTAAATTATCATGACACAGGTTATTTATTAATTACAAAGAGAAGAGCTATAGTGAAAAAAATCTGGTGGGCACCCACTTCAACCAGATAACCAAATTCAGCATCCCCAGTTATGGTTGAAATTGACATCATGTGCCTCCTGATGTGATGCACTGGGAATGATCCATCACCTACATATACATGGAATATTCCTAGTGTTAACAAAGAGTCAAACTCTGTAAAATATTTGAAGAGATTTATTCTGAGCCAAATATGAGTGACCATAGCCCATGATACAGCCCTCAGGAGGTCCTGAGAATATGTGCCCAAGGTGATCAGGGTTATGCCAGTGTCATATTGAAAAGCAAGTCACAATATACACAGTCCAATAAGACCCACCTGATGAGAATCCATGGTTTGCAGGGCATGACTCCTGAAACCCCTTAGGTAGGAATTTGGGCAAGATGGAAAATCAGAGCTTAGTCCTTACTGGCAGTGATGTCTGGAGGAAATAGCAAAGTCCAAATTGAAAGACGTTATGCAAAACAGCATAAGTGCCCCCTCCATCCACACTCTATTCCTGTACTAAAGGATACTTTGTATTTCAAAAATGTCCATGTCACGAAAGACAAAAGAGGAAGGGGGGGCACATTGTTGTGATAATTAGGGAAGTTTAGGAACTATGTATATAATAGTAATATATTTCTTGAGTGTAATAATTGTATTCTAGTTAAATAGGATGTTTTGTTCTTAGAAGATAGAATCATAAATATTTAGAGATGAAGTATAATACCTGCAACTAATTCTTAGATGGTTCAGGAAAAAAACGTCTCTGGAGTGGGGGGAAGAAGAAGGGGAATATGGCAAATATTAACAATTGATTATCTGGATAAAGAGTATATAATAGTTGGTCATTGTCCTTTACTTGTGACTTTCAGGAAGATTTAACATTTTTCAAAAGAAAGTTGAAGACAGATTTTAATTAAAATAAAATTTCAAAATGAAATAACATTTATTCTGTCTTATTGCTTTAGGTGAAATCCTTAACCCTGTTTGTCACCCATTATCCGCCAGTTTGTGAACTAGAAAAAAATTACTCACACCAGGTGGGGAATTACCACATGGGCTTCTTGGTCAGTGAGGATGAAAGCAGACTGCCTCCAGGTATGAAATATTTCTGCAGTTGGTACAAATATTGGTTTTCATGTTTGATAACTCAAAGTTTGTTGGAACATGAACTTACTGCTTATTAATAATGAAAGCTGTGAACGTTAGCTATAAATAACATTTGTCAAGATTCATTTTCGCTAGGCTTTAGGTCAAGTAGAATTTACATTTATCCTTGCTGTCTCTGAGTCCTTCTCTGGTCTTCCTTGTCTCATTTGTCGTGGTAACCCTTTTCTCTTTTTGTACAGGAATGGGGTGTGGGTGGAGGGAGCACTTAGGTTTTCCTCTTAGTGCCTTATACTCTTACATGATTCATCTCAGTATTTCAATTGCAGAGTATAATTAGTCATCTTTCTAAAATGCTCAATATTTTCCCCAAAATATCATAACTTACTAAGGGCCATATACTGTACTGGATGTGAGTTTTTATTTTAATATTACAAGGAAACTGAATCTCAGACCGGTAAAGCGGTTTGACCATGTCAACCACTTAGATTGGGGCTAAAACGAGCCTAGAATTCACTTCTGCTTCTGGGTTCTCTTCTGTTCTCCTCTGCCAGATCTGCTATGGGGAAAATCTACAATATTTTTCTATAATTAGTGTCACTGAAATGGGACATTTTATGAAAAAGAACACTGTTCTCCAATAGCAATAAATTTAAGAGCAATAAGTAATATAGTAGACTTTAGCATTTTTTTTTCTGTTCAGTAGTAATTGTTTTAAGCTACTAGCCTGTAGGCCTATGATGGTTTACGCAATTGGTATGCTACAATGGAAAAATCCATCATGTAAGATACTCCAGAGTCCAAATTTTATTTTGGAAAAGTAATAAGGATGGACCTGAAAAAGAAATCAGGCAACTGGCCCAAATAAAACAAAGCACTGGGCCTAAGATAAATGTAATGTTAGGCAGTTCCTGCCTTTCACCACAATGCAGTCTTGGAAAACACATCATAAATTCTCACATGGAAGTAGTTTTGTGTCTATTAATCTGTATCCAGAGTGACAAGAGGAGACTTGAGCTAAAACCCTTGGGACAAAGAGAATAGAGTTCACCAACAGGGAAGAGGAGTCAGTGCTGCTAATAAGCATTTGATATGAACTGAAAACTAACACAGAGCATTGTACCTTTCCCTTAAGTGTTCTGGACATTTTATTTTATTTATTTTAATTTATTTTATTTTATTTTATTTTTTTGAGATGGGGTCTCACTGCCATCCAGGCTAGAAAGCAGTGGCCCAATCACAGCTCACTACAGCCTCAATCTCATGGGTCCAGGTGATCCTCCAATGTCAGCCTCCCTGGTAGCTGGGACTACAGGCATACACTACTACCACACCTGGCTGATTTTTGTATTTTCTGTAGAGGCGGGCTCTTACTGTGTTGCCCAGGCTGGTCTCAAACTCTTGAACTCAAGCGATCCTCCTGCCTTGGCCTCCCAAAGTGCTGGGATTATAGGATGCTCTAATACCTTGTCTAGCTGATTTTAATTTTTATCAATGAACATAATGTTTAAAATTCAGTGGTACTACAAGGCTCCTGCTGACAAGCTTCCATCCTTTCAGTTCATGTCCTTCCCCATCCTAGACCCAAGGCAACTACTTTCAACACTTTTCTCCATTTCTGTTGTATTTCTGAGTATTATGCATATTTTCCTGTCTCTTGATTCATCAAATTGACACATTATGGATGAACCTCTCATTGTGTTAGTTGAGATTCTTCAGTTTTCCCTTCCTCTGTCCTTCTAATATATCATTTCACATGTATTGTATGTCATTCGTATTTGTTGTGTTCATTATTATTGCCATGTTAAGTATTGCTTACTGATGAGCCAAGTATGGAGACAAGTGCATTTTTTTGTTTTACAACATTTTCTATTTTCTCAAAAATAAGAATTGACTGTCCTTATTTTTTCATTCTGTTTTGTTTTGTTTCTGAGTCTATAGCTGAATTTTCCTGTATCCTCCAATAGCTTTGTAAAATGCCTCTCTAGATGTTTTTCCATACAGCTGAACCTACTGGTTCCCATTTGTCCCACTGTGGCCCTTCCCCTGGAGCCCTTTGTCCTCCTGCTCATCTGAACTGGCTGCTGTCTGGGCCTGCTGCACAGCTGTCATCCTGCCTGCCTTGCCGACATCCTAGGAGTTCCCTTACCCCTCTTCTGAGCATGTGATTGTAAGGAACAAAACACTCAATCTCACACTGGCTCAGACAACAAGGATGCAGTATATATAATCCCATGTTCCATGAACTCCAGAGGAAGAGTGGGTTTCAGCTCCTCCTTTTTATAATTCCCAGTCTCTGTCTTCCTGCCTGACAAGCTTTATCATCAGGCTAGTGACAGTGGCTGCAGTTCTTCCTGGCATCATGTCCAGGATGTCCAAAGGGAGAAAAGAGACCAGCATTTCCTGGTAACTCTTTCTTAGAACAAGGGAACTTTTTCTCAGATGCCTTCCAGTATCTCATGATTGCCTCATCCCATTTTCAGAATTGAGTAACAGGCTCCTTCTTAAAACACTCCTTAGCAGAGGATGGCAGGGGTGATTTTGATGGGCCTAGATGAATCAGCATCAACTTCTGGAGCTGGCATTGAATACCCAGTCCCCTGAGTTAACTGATTAGCAAGTTAATTTCTTTTAAAATTAGGGTTTTCTTAGGGGTGGAATAAATGTTGAATAGGCTACTACTTATATCAACTAAAGGAGGTAAAAGTTTTGAGATTTTTCATGAATGAAAATGTCTCACATGCTTCTTGGCCACATGTATGTCTTCTTTAGAAAAGTATCTGTTGATGTCCTTTGCCTACTTTTTAATGGGTTTGGTTTTTTTCTTAAAATGTATATAAGTTCCTTATAGGTGCTGAGTATTAGACCTTTGTCAGATCCATGGTTTGCAAACATTTTCTCCCATTCTGTAGGTTGCCTTTTTACCATGTTCGTAGTTTCTTTTGCTGTACAAAAGCTCTTTAGTTTAATTATGTCCCATGTGTCAGTTTTTCCTTTTGTTGCCATTGCTTTTGGCCTCTTAGTCATAAAATATTTTCCAATTCCTATGTCTAGAATGGGAAAAGCTGACTGATCATTAGAGAAATTAAAATAAAAACCACGGTGAAATACCATCTCACACCAGTCAGAATGGCTATTATTAAAAAGTCAAAAAATAACAGGTGCTGGTGAGGTGGTGGAGAAAAAGGAATGCTTACACACTATTGGTGGGAGTGTGAGTTAGTTCAACCATTATGGAAAACAGTGTGACGATTCCTCAAAGACCTAATAACAGAATTACCATTCAACCCAGCAATCCTATTACTGGGTATATACCCAAAGAAATATAAATCATTGTGTCAAAAAGACACATGCACACATGTATTTGTTTCAGCACTATTCACAGTAGCAGGACATAGAATCAACCTAAATTACCATCAGTGGTAGACTAGTTAAAGAAAATGTGGTACAAATACAACATGGAATACCATCCAGCCTTAAAAAAAGAATAAGGTCATGTCCTTTGCAGGAATATGGTTGGAACTGGAGGCCATTTTCCTTAGCAAACTAATGCAGGAACAGAAAACAAAGTATCACATGTTTTCACTTATAAGTAGGAGCTAAATAATGAGAATACGTGGACACAGAGAGGTAAACCACACACACACTGGGGCCTACTAGAGAGGGTGCAGAGCAGTAGGAGGGAGGGGATCAGGAAAAATAACTAATGGGTACTAGGCTTAATACCTGGGTGATTAATCAGTACAGCAAACCCCCGTGACACAAGTTTACCTATATAACAAACCTGCACATGTACCCCTGAATTTAAAAGTTAAAAAAAAAAAAAGAAACCTCTAGAGCTTCCATGTTCAAATTTATAGTTCAGCCAGGGTTAGAACTTTGGATAGAAAACCATTTTCAGTTAGAATTTTGAAGCAGTGCTCCACTGCCTGCTGCCTTCCAGTATTATTCCTGGCTATATATGTGCTTCATCCGTTACCTCTCCCCCAACTTCTCCTCTTCTGTGTAAGTTAGAGGCCATTGCATAGGTCATCAGTAAAATGCCCCACAGGTCTTTTGGATGGCTTCTAAGATACTCTGTCTAATTCCCATGATGTGATAGGTAAAATAATGGACGAACAGAGAAGAAAACTGTGTATTAGTCTATTCCAATCTGTATGATCTTGGACAAGTCACCTAATTTCACTTACCCCTAAATTTTTATGAATCTGCTCTAAAAGCAACTTCAGAAATTATTCGTCAGCACACATCTCTTTAAGAACTGCTTAGAGAAGTTTGGCTTAAATATACATCTTGCTATGTTTCCCTGTAATTGGCAGAAACATGAATTATTCTACTGACTCTAAACAGTGCCAGGTAAACATTTTAATAATGTCCATTTAAGAGATGGCCATAGCTTATAAGTAGTTACATCCTCATCAAGAACTTTTACTGTGAGCCTGTAAAGAAACAGTTTTTACTCATAAAACAAATTTTATTCTCTCCCATGTGACGTTCTCTGACTCCATATTTCCATCCTACCAGCCCCCCCCCCCGGCCACCTCTCCCCCACACAGAGGGTAAAGGAATACATCATTACAAAAAGAGATCCCCCAGGTGATTATGGAAGAGTGGTCTCGTTCCTTACCTTGAACGTGTGAGAACTACCATAATTACTACTAAAGTAGAGACCGGCATATAATGACACACTCAGCAACTGTATGTTAAGGTATTCAGAGAAGTGTAATATTTTATGTAAGTTAGATATATTTTGTAGCTATGTTATACATTTTATATATATAAACATTGTTACAACTGTCTATACTATTTATATAAAAACAAAATATTTAAAAGTCATTACAAATTTTTAAGAAGGGGGATTTGGTGGCAGTTATTAGGCTCCCTGGATAGATGGATAGATGGACAGACAGATGAATGGATCTTGTTTAGAAAGGTCAGCCTGGGATCTAGGTTATACCACAGAGCTGGAGACAGGGAGATCAGTTGGGACTAACACAGTTGAAGTGATAAACTATTTTTCTGCCTTAAAGATAAATGGCTTTTTTTTTAATTGCTTATTGCTTTTCACTTCACTCTTACGCTTGTGAACTTTGAAGAATAACAAAAAATTATCCAAGTTTGCAAGTCCTGGCTTCTAGCTGTGTCTTCCTTAATCTCTTCCCACCCACTTCTTCATGTGTGTTCCTCAACTTTCATTTGGGGCCAAAAGGTGCTCTCAGTGCCTCGTGATGGCAGTTTGGGTCTGTGTTCCTGAGTGAGTTGGCATTCTTTCCACCTCCCACTTCAGCACCCACCCTTGGGAAGCTGTCATCTGTATGTTGCTGAATTCTTAGAGGAGGGCCAGGGAAAATCCGTTGTCCTTTTTCACTGTTGTGTTCAGTCTTTGGCTTTCTAAATTTTCACTGATAAAAGAAGAAAACATACACATCTATCAAATGAAATAATGATTGAGGAAAAGCTCTTAATAAACTCAAAAGTACACTGGGATTATAGAAATCTTTGTAGCTATGGTCCACCTTGGACATTTTTGCAGCACAGTACAATTATGTTGAATTTCAAAATAAAAGTTATGTAATAGCCTGAGCTGCTTTAGCTTAAACTGCAAAGCAGTGGTTTATTGTAATTATTGTACTTCATTACATCCTGATTCTTTTAAAGTTTTAAGTTCATGTCTGTGTATATATATGAGAGACTGAGTTCTCTAGGAAGCAGATTCTGAGATTTGCATTCATAAGGTTCATTGAGAGTGCTGGGCTGTGTTATAGTCAAAAGGCTTCAGCCAGCCCTGCAGAGAGCTCTGAGGCTAGGATGGTCCTTCAGAGTTACCTCAACTTGGGGTGAGAGGGATAGACCTCTATACTCTTTATTAGTTGTCTTTATTGGTTTGGGGTAATTTGCAAATAGTGTGCAGCAGATTACCCCCTAAAACACAGTAGTTTAGAACAACAAATATTTATCACCTCATAATTTCTGTGAGTCAGGAGCCCATGAGCAACTTAGCTGAACATCTCTAAGGCTGAACACTGTCGCCCTGTGAGAGACCTCTAGCTTGGTTCCTCACAGGGCTACAGTCAGTCACCAATCAGGGAAGCAGCCATGTCAAGGCTTCCCAGCCCACTCACATGGCTGCTCCAATATCTGCTTCCAAGCCCACTTGAGTGGCTTTTGGCAGGCCTAAGGCCGTTGCTGACTGTTGGTGGAAGACATCAGTTTGTTTCCATGTGAGCATCTCTATAGACAACACACAGCTTGGCGGCTGGCTTCCCTCAGAACAGGCAGGCAACAAAGTAAGAGTGCCCAAGTCAGAAACCAGTGTTTCTGTGACTTAATCTCTGAAGTGACATCTTATCACTTTTACTGTATTCTAGTCATTAGAAGTGAGTCACTGGGTAGGAATGACACAGAGGGAATGACACAAGCACAGGAACGCCAGCCAGCAGAGGTCCTTGGTGGCCATCTTAGATGCTACCTGCAACAACCAGTCACTGGTTGCAGACTGCCCCAAAGTGGGGTGTGGTCTTGGTAAAGCCCCTCCCTTTACCTGCAGCAGTTTCCAAAGAAGGCAGACAGTGGAGGGTTGCAGGCTAACGGTCTTTCTGACAGCTGAGGGAATAAACTCTTTAGTCGAAAGTGGGATCTGAGTGGTACTGAACAGAATCCACTATGTATAACTCTTGGTTAACAGGAATATTTAATAAACCAGAACATCTCAATCCTGTTATTTAAATTGTCCAACATGTAATATTTTCTTATCTGTTTTTAAAGGAGAAATTATAGGCCTGCTACAGTGATTCATACTTGTAATCCTAGCAGTTTGGGAGGCTGAGGTGGGTGACCGCTTGTGCCCAGAAGTTCGAGACCAGCCTGGGCAACATGACAAAACCCTATCTCTATAAAAAAAAAAAAAATCAGATAGGCCTAGTGCTATGCACCTGTAGTCCCAGCTACTCAGGAGGCTAAGATGGGACAATCGCCTTGAACTTGGAAGGTTGAGACTGCTAATGAGCCAAGATTGTGCCCCTGCACTCCAGCCTGGGAGACAGAGTGAGACTCTGTTCAGAAACATAAAAAGGAGAAATTATATTGTATCAACCATGTACTAAGATTATTCTCATCCCGGTGCAGTGGCTCATGCCTGTAATCTCGACACTTTGAGAGACCAAAGAGGGAAGATTGTTTAAAGCCAGGAGTTCGAAACCAGCCTGAGCAACAAAGCAAGACCTGATCTCTACAAAAAATATTTTAAAAATAGCTGAGTGTGGTGGCACGAGCCTGTAGTCCTAGCTACTTAGGAGGCTAGGCAGGATTGCTTGAGCCCAGAAGTTTGAGGTTACAGTGAGGTATGATTGTGCCACTGCACTCCAGCCTGGACGATAGAGTGCAACCCTATCTCTGAAAAAGTTAATAAATAAAATCATTATCTTTTTAATATAGTCATTCAGTTCAAATTTGCAATGAATCATTGTTAAAAACTATTTTAAGTGAGCTAAAAGATAGATCCTACATGCACACAGCAATTTCAAAACAGTATTTACCCTTTTCTAGACATGTCAGATTGATAAATGGAGCTAACAGGCAAGTAGGAACAGTGAATTTCTTTTTCAGATTGTATGTTTTAATAAAGTTATGAGAGTTTACGTGTCCTTTTTAATCCTCTAATTTGTTTCAGCTTTGAGGCACCGGTTTGATCCTTTTTTCTGTTTTTCTTTATTTCACAGGTGAAGAACAAGTCCCTGATTTTGTCACTTTCCTTTATCAAATAACTAGAGGAATTGCAGAAAGGAGTTATGGATTAAATGTGGCTAAACTAGCAGATGTTCCTGGAGAAATTTTGAAGAAAGCAGCTCACAAGTCAAAAGAGCTGGAAGGATTAATAAATACAAAAAGGTCAGAGTGATTGTGCTGCATTTTTTTCATTTGTAACAAAACCTAAGTTGTCCAAGAAAGAGAAGTGTCCTGAAAATGAACATCAGATCTACTTTTAAGCACCTCTTCAAATATTCTGAACCATTTAATATGATGAAGTGAAAACAGCTCTTGCAAAGCTCAGGTGAATTCAGTCCAACTTTATTAGATGATTATTAAGTTGCTAAATTGGTTTTTCAGTCATTTTTTTCTAAAGAATTTAGTTAACTCCTTAATATGTGCCAACACATTAGTTGCTTTAAACATTCAGTTATGCCAAAGGTTATTGAGGATATTTAGAACCTACAGAGGATTTCATTTATTCATAGATTTTATTCATATATGCAATGATTATATCCAGAAATTCTATCAGAACATTAATGAAAATAATGTTATATAACAGGCAATCATAGTCAATATCCACATGTCACTTATTTTGTAGATTGTGACAGATTTTTCATTCTAAACTGGCTTCTGTCACTTTAAATGCTTATGGGAATATTTTCCACCTTTACCCTTGCTATCCAGCCAATATGTAGTCAGTATATAAACTAATGTTAATGTAAACCTGAGATATACTTTGGAAGAAAGATATTCCTAGGAAAATGTCATATTAATAAATAGTAAATTATAGCCTTTTGTTTCCCAAATATAAAATTATAAAACAACATAAGCTCCCCATCTACCTACTGCCCGCCCCGCCACTGCCATACTTGGGGAGCCTGATGTGCTGGGGACAGGACATTACTACCCTGGTTGATAATTATATGACCATGATGAACAGATTGTTGATTAAATAAAGATCTTGGCTGGCTACTGGTGGTCCCTGTGTTATACTCCAAGAGTATTCTTTGATTCTGGGAATTATTACTAGATTTCAATATTGAAATAGTAATACCTATCAAACTAGCTAAAGAAACAGTTGCTAACTTGTCTACCAAAGTGCAGTAGTACAATTAACTTCTCTTTCCCTCCCTCCTCCCTCCTGTGCTTCCGCCTTACATTCTTCCACTTTGGTATACTATAGTTGACCGACTCCAGAGTACTGGGCTCTACAAATGGCACACAGCCTCCTCTAGTGACACTCTTTTCTGGCTCATTTCCAAATCACAGTGCCGAAACAGAAGCAAAGTGGCATGATCAGTTTGAGCCTATAACTGTTACAAGGCAGATTAATATAAAATTTTTCCTGAGGGAAAGTTATTTGTGAGAATTTAAAAATAAACTTAACCCTCTTCCTCTGCAAAGTCCAGAGACAAATTTAAATTCTCTTTAGTTGTCATCTTATTATTATTCTTTTTCTCTGAAAAAAAGCCAGAATAAAACTTTACTACAAAGGATATATACACAAGATAGCAACAAAATACATCAATTTCTATATTTGTTTATAAATATATGCAAGATAGTAATAAAATATGGCAATTTCTATATTTTCATATATTCTTGTTTCTGCTATAGAGCCTATAAAGCAAAAGCCAAAATTTTCACAAATTACTCGTAAATATTTTAACTCTTCTGACTAGTAAGTGACATTTTGAAATTCATGAAGTTATTTTGACAAGTTAAGAGAATTATTAGAAGTTGTTGCATGGGAATGGAATCTGATAATTTTATGAAGATACTCTATTTGTTGTTTTACCTTTTTCCTAAAAGTGCTTATATAAATTCCTTTGGGCAGATCAAAGAAATCAAACAGAATTTTGGGCCTTAGTGTGGATTTGTTATAATAGTTACTATATATTGAATGGTTACTGTGTGTAGAAATCATTCTGAGCAGTCATTTGCAGCAGCCTACCCACTGTGCCAGTTACTTGTGCTCATTGCTTTACATACGTTAACTCATTTCATCCTTATGGCAGCCTTATCCCCATGGTATATTTGGGGAAAGGGAGGCCAGCAAGGACAGGACACTAACCCAGGGTCACCTAGCTACTTGATGGTGGAGCAGTAACTGTAACTCAGTTACTCTAGCTGCAGACCCTAAATACTCAACTGGATTGCTATTCTGCAGAAAAAAAAGTAAGTCTATGGTATGCTGATATTTTACTCTGTAATTAGCTGTATTGTCTTCGGTTGGTGTTACTTTTCATCCTGGGAACACGTCACAGGAGTTTTTTTGTCTTCAGGTGCAAATAAGCACACACCACCAGCCTCTAGCAGAGTTTGAAGGGGAAGGAGGTCGGGTTCTCCCCTCTGGGTTGGTGGGGGTAGAGATTTTAGGAGAAGGCACAGAGGCAGTAGTGGCGATTGATGACCTGGGCCCCTTGATTATAGTAGCAGCTCTGAAGGGTGACAACACAGCTTTCTAACTATAGAGCCTGCCTGGTATTCAAATGTTATAGACTTTTCATATCTTCCGATGAGATGTATTGTCCCCCAGTAATTTCATTTATTAAATAAGTAGTATTTTCTTTTTCCCCAGGAAGAGACTAAAGTATTTTGCAAAGTTATGGACAATGCATAATGCACAAGACCTGCAGAAGTGGACAGAGGAGTTGGAAATGGAAGAAACACAGACTTCTCTTCCTCATTAAAATGAAGACTACATTTGTGAACAAAAAATGGAGAATTAAAAATACCAACTGTACAAAATAACTCTCCAGTAACAGCCTATCTTTGTGTGACATGTGAGCATAAAATTATGACCATGGTATATTCCTATTGGAAACAGAGGTTTTTCTCAAGACAGTCTTTTTCAGGTTCCTGTCTTCCTAACTTTTCTAAGTATAAACACTCTTTAATAGACTTCCACTTTTAATTAGAAAATTTCATGGACAGTAAGTCCAGTAAAGCCTTAAGTGGTAGAATATAATTCACAAGCTTTTGGAGGGTGGTATAAAAATTTACTTCATACTTTTATTTGTTTCATTTCAGATAATTGGCAACTGGGTGAATCTGGCAGGAATCTATCTTTCCATTTGAACTAAAATAGTTTTATTATGCAACCAGTTTATCCACCAAGAACATAAGACTTTTTGACAAGAAATAAAAAGAATTGGCTGGGCATGGTGGCTCACGCCTATAATCCCAGCACTTTGGGAGGCCAAGGCAGGCAGATCACCTGAGATCAGGAGTTCAAGACCATCCTGGCCAACATGGCAAAACCCCATTTCTACTAAGAATACAAAGTACTAAAAATACTACTAAAAATACAAAAAAAAATTAGGCTTGTAGTGCCAGCTACTTGGGAGGCTGAGGCAGGAGAATCTCTTGAACCTAGGAGGCAGAGGTTTCAGTGAGCCAGGATCATGTCACTGCACTCCAGCCTGGGCAACAGAGCAAGACTCCATCTCAAAAAAAAAAAAAGAAAAGAAATAGAATTATCGAGCTTTTAAAAACTAGAGCCCAGAAGGAATAAGGTCATGAAATTTAAAAGGTTAGATATTATCACAGATTAAGCAGTTTAAAGATTGTTGGATGAAATTATTTGTCATTCATTCGAGTAATAAATATTTAATGAATACTTGCTATAGATTATGGTATGTCCCATTGAATTTTGATGTTTTTAGGTATTTGGAAATTGTCATGTTTTTAGGTGTAATTATGAAACTAAGGTTGCTACTTTGACTAGTGCAATACACAAGAGTGAACTTGTTCATTTGGAACCTTTCTGTTCATCAACATATCAGATGTATGATCTTCCCAGTAATGAGCCTTATAGCTTAGTTGATTCATAACAGTGCTCCCTTCCTGCAAATTTAGGGTAACACGTGCTCAACTGTGTCCCTGGGTTTTTTACAGCACTTACAATCTGGCTTCCCATATCCATGTGTTCTTTTTGTTTCTAAATATATGATCTTGCACAAAAGCTCTCCATCCTATTTTCCTCTCTTTTATTATTTCTGCTCAGTTAAATGTCTTCCCCACATATGATGGACATATTTCTAATACCGTCTTCTGGATTATTACCTTCAGTGATCCCAGCAGTGACCCCAGACAGAGGAGTCAATACAGTATCCCCAAGTTGTTGCTTCACTTTTGAGTCAGTCACTCTTCAGCTTTCTGACTCCCAACCTTATTGGAATTAGAGTATGATGTAGTTTGATTGATTCTACCACCCCTCCAGAAATACTAACATATAGTCAGGTTCTCAAAACTGTTAAAATAGAGTTAGTCGGAATGTACTCTTTAAATTTTAAAAAACAAAATTATTTAATACTGTATATAACTAAATGTTTTATATTTTTTCTAACAAGATTTCAAAGATAGTGCTATAACCTCACTGGCAGGCCAGGGGAAAAGGAGATGACTCCAGGAATGTCGTGCCCATGCCAGAGGGAGCTGCAGGGACCAGCAAACACTGGTAATGTCCAGATGGACATCTGGAGCCACCTCTTCCTGTTGCTTGGTCCAGGCCAGTATCAACACTGAAGCAGGTAGGGGTTCCAGGAGCATTGTGTCCTGGCAGTGGCAGCACACAGTGTCTGGCAGCTGACAGCATGGAACTTTACAGGGTAGAGTCTCCAGCATGAGCAGGATGCTAGCCAGGCAGCCAGCTTGCAGGAGGGCAGGCCTCCTCCAAGCTGGGGAGGAGACCAGCACTGCTGAACTGCATTTCTAAGTGAGGCTCATCCCTGACCAGGTTGCTGAGATATTGAAGGAAACGTTAAAGCCAAATTCCGGTCATAAAGACTGCACAAATGCCCTGGGGAGGTAGGCAGAAAGTTGCAAGCAATTGGGTTTCTATTTCAGGTAACCAACATAGGGCTGCAATCCTAAGGTTAGATATAACCATACCAGTGAGAGTAGGGCTGTTGGTACCTGGTGAGGGCCCTCCAGATTCCCTCTGGTACCGCACAGGCATGAACCTGCAAGCTAAATGTCTTCCATACTTCAGATGAAGGCTGGGAAAGATAGGGCTGACTTGTGGCCAAATGTCAAGGAAAGTAACTTTTTCATGTGATATCTTCCTTCAAGTGACTTGTCTGTTTTTACCCATCAAATTACAAATTAAGAGCTAGTGATTCTGCAGTAACAAATACCAATTCCTCGAAACCTTCTAGTCAGTCCAGCTTGTTTGTTTGTTTGTGACACAGTCTTCCTCTGTTGCCCAGGCTAGAGTGCAGCGGCACAATTTCGACTCACTGCGAACTCCACCTCTCAGGTTCAAGTGATTCTCCTGCCTCAGCCTCCTGAGTAGCTGGGATTATAGGTGCCCACCACCGTGCCCGGATAAGTTTTGTATTTTTAGTAGAGACAGGGTTTCACCATCTTGGCCAGGCTGGAGTCCAACCAGTTTAATAATTCCAACCTTAGGGGGAAAAAAGCCAAGCACATTTTAACAAGTTTCAACTTTGACCTTTCTCTTGCTTCATCTCTTCTCAGTGCTGTCTATCCTATGTAGTTTAAAAAATATTCTTACATAATATAATTAGTATAACAATATTTGAAAATCCATGGGACTATAATTTATAATTTAAAAAGAGAAAAAAGAAGGAAAAATGAATTTTTTAAAAAATTAAATTTTATAAGCTAAAAATAAATTTAAAGTCCGGGCACAGTGGCTCATGCCTGTAATGCTAGCACTTTGGGAGGCTGAGGCAGGCAGATTGCCTAAGCTCAGGAATTTGAGACCAGCCTGGGCAACACAGTGAAACCCCGTCTCTACTAAGATATACAAAATTAGCCAGGCATGGTGGCATGCACCTGTAGTCCCTTGGGAGGCTGAGGCAGGAGAATTGCTTAAACCCTGGAGACGGAGGTTGCAGTGAGCCGAGATCACACCACTGCACTCCAGTCTCGGTGACAGAGGAAGACTCCATCTCCAAAAAAAAATTTTAAGGAAAAGAAATGTAAAAACCTAAGCATTTGAGTTACTCAGTTTATCTCAATGTTTCTCGGTGCTGAATGTGAAAATCAAATGATTCCCAATTGAATCATAGTCTTTTGGACTGAGATCCAAGCTTTGTATCCTTTTTTCAGTTTTATTGACATAATTTACATACTGTACAATTTACTCATTTAGAGTGAATAATTCAGTGGGTTTTCATATATTCACAAGGATGTGCAACTGTCACTATAATCAATTTTAGAACATTCTTAACATGCTAAAAAAGAAAACCTGTACCAATTAGCTGTCAGTCACCATTCCTCCCCAAGATCCTCAGCCCTGGGCAACCCCTAATCTACATTCTGTCTCTATAGATTTGCCTATTTTGGACATTTCATATGAACGGAACCATAGAATATGTGGTCTTTTGTGTCTGGTTTCTTTCACTTAGATGCAAGATTCATCTGTGTATCAGAACTTCATTCTCTAACTGGTAAGAAGTATTCCATTTTATGTATGCATTACATTTTAATTTATCCATTCATTCATTGATGCACATTTGGATTGTTTCTATTTCTAGCTATTATGAATAATTCTATGAACATTTGTGTACAGGTTTTTGTGTGACAAGGCATAATATTTTGTAAAAAGCTCACCTAATAATTCCGATGTGCAGTCACATTTGTGAACCATTAGCCTCAAAGATGACAAATGACTAAACAATATTTTTAATTGGGTTGACAGTCATTTGGTCCATTTGTCCTCTGCTTCATCTGTCACTTAGGGCAGAGCATCGCGTACTGTAGGCCCTAATTAATATTTCTTAAAGTAGAAAGGAAAAACCAAACTCCTTCAGCTTAGAAACCCAGTGAAAAGATGTTTCTTTTCATAATGAAGGCTCCATTTCACTAGGGATTCAAGATCGATACAGAAGTATGCTACATCTTTAGAAAAACATAAAAACTTCTTCAGACAATTTGTCCAAATTTGTGCCAGTTGTCATTGTGGTGATGGTAATGGGGCTGGTGAAACACTGCCAACTGCATGAATTCCAGAGTAAAAACTAGATTTAATCCAAAATATTCTACAAATTAATGTTGACCTTTACTGAGTTCTGAGATCCATATTAATTACTGCTGTGCTGTGTAATTATAAAAGGGCTATTTGACGTTTCACACTGAGGATATAGGTGGAGAGAGAAAGGAACTTGTATTAATACCATCTGTGGTTTCTAACTTTGTAATTAAGGCCAATTCCTCTGTGGAACATTGTAGTTATTATATATCATGATTATTTGGTTTATTAATATCCAGGGAAATACCACAGTTTGAGAGCCATTCATTCTGGTTTACTTGGGAAGTCTATTCTATACTGCTTTTGATGGCATATTTATTAAAAGCCTCTTTAATTCAAAAGTGTCCTGTTTTGAATAATAACTTATACAGTTACCCCAATTATAGATGGTAGTTTTCGACTTGCTACATTTTGAATGTCATCTAAAAAAATTCATTTTTTTCTTACCCACTAGATGAACCAGTTTTCCTCCAAGACCTGCCAGTTGTTTTTGCCTGTTCTTGATAAGTGTTTTGTATTGTGCCATTTAGAAGCTACAGCTCTGCTAATTGGTGTCTTAGAGCTTTGCTACCTAATCTGTTGTTGAGACTAAATCCCTGAAGATAACATGCCATCTTCCCTCGTCTCCATGAAATCATGGTGAGGAATGTGCACCTACATGACTTTGTGAGACATACAGCAAGACTATCTTCTTGCAGAAATAATTATTCCTCAGGAGGACTCACCTCCAGTTCTTTTGTCCTTTGCTCAGATCCTCTCTTCGTTGCCGTTGGCTATCTTTTTTTATTTTTTTGACAAAACAGTATTTTATTTTCACATCAGAAAAGAAATATTGTCTGCCATTTTCACCTCCTTTTCAGCTTCAAGCCTCTTTTTCTTAATCCTACTTACAGGAAGCTGCCTTTTGGAGGTAGGAATGTCTTGCCCTCTATCAGAGGCACCTAAGGAGTTACTTAAATGCTGATTTCTAGGCCCCACTTTAAAGCTACTGACTTTGAATATCTGAAGTTGGGACACAGAAATACCAGTTAGTGTGAATTTCTATCTCTCTTCATCACATTCTCCCACTTTTTCCTTGCCCACATGGCCAGTGATCTGGCCTCCAAAGAAATTTGTTAAAAATCATACTCCTTGGTTCAGGACTGCTCTTTAAGATTCTGTCTGATTTACTGCATCTGGTGTGGGGTCTAGGGATCTTCATTATTATTTTTCAAATAGACTATTTCTTAGAGCAGTTTTAGATTAAATGCAGAATTGAGTGGGAAGCACGTACTCTCTGCCCAAACACACCACCTCCCCTCACTATTGACATCCTGCACCATGGTGGTGCTTTTGTTACAGTCAATAAACCTGCATTGTCACAACATTATCACCCATTGTTCATAATTTACACTGGGGTTCACTCTAGATGTGTACGTTCCATGGGTTTGGACAAATTTCTAATGACATGTAACCACCATTATAGTATCATACAGAATAGTTTCAGTGCCCTAAAAATCCTCTGTGCTCTGCCTATTCATCCCACTCACCCCAAACCACTGGCAACCACTGATCCTTGCACTGTCTCCATAGTTTTGCCTTTTCCAGAATGTCATACAGTTGGAATCACACAATAGGCAGTCTTTTCAGACTGGCTTATTATTCACTTAATAACATGCACTCAGGGTTACTCCATGTCTTTTCATAGCTTAATAGCTTACTTCTTCTTAGCACTGAATAATATTCCATCATCTGAATGTACCCTAGTCTATCCATTTACCCACTGAAGGACATCTTGGTTGCCTCCAAGTTTGACAATTATGAATAAAGCGTCTTTAAACATCTGTGTGCAGCTTTTTATGTGGACATACGTTTTCAGCTTATTTGGATAACTACCAAGGAGTGCGATTGCTGGTAAATGTTCTGTTTTCTAAGAAACAGCTATACTATCTTCCAAAGTGACACTACCATTTCACATTCCCATCAGCAATGAATCAGAGTTCCTGTGGCTCCACATTCTTGTTAGCATTTGGTCGTATCAGCGTTACAGATTTTGGCCATTCTAATAGTATGTCATTCCATTATTTTAACTTTCATTTCCCTGATGACATGTGATGTGGAACATCTTTTCATATGCATATTGGTCATCTGTATATATTATTCAGTGAGGTGTCAAGATATTTGGCTCATTTTTTAATCTGTATTCATTTTCTTATTGTTGAATTTCAAGTGTTCTTTGCATATTTTGGATAACAGTCCTTTATCAGCTATGTTTTTTGGTCATCCGTGGCTTGTCTTCTCATTCTCTTGACAGTGCCTTTCATGGAGCAGAAGTTTTTTATTTTGATGAGGTCCCACTTTCACTTTTTTCTTTCATGGATCATGCCTTTGGAGTTATATCTAAAAAGTCATTGCAATGGCCAAGGTCTTCTAGGTTTTCTCTTCCATCCATGAGGGATTTTATAGTTTGCATTTTACAGTGGTCTATTTGAATAAGTTTTTATGAAGGATGTAAGGTTGATAGGTTCTTTTTTAATAGGCTTTATTTTTTAGAGCAATTTTAGGTTCACAGCAAAATTGAATGGAAATATAAAGAGGACACTGGATTTTTAAAATGAGTATTCTAAGTGATTCCTATACAGATAAAGAATCAAGTTTTAAAAAGCACAGCCATATTGCCTTCGAATCATTATTCATCAGAAGAGGCCACTTCCTCAAATAACAGTGAACCTTTAATTTCTCTAAGCTCTTTAGGTTACTTAACAGAATACCAGGCAAAAGCAAACATTTAAATTGCATTTTTGTATTATGAGATTTAAAGAAGTGCCTGTGAAGAGCATGCATGATACTTCAAACTGTGGATAAACTCTACAAGAGTAGTATTTTTTATTTTAAATAATATTTGAATCATTTTGTAGCATTATCAGGAAAGGAGGTAATGAAAATATTCCCAAGGACCAACTCTGCTTCAAGACATTAAGCATTACGGTTTCTATCAGTCAGTAGCTTTGGTATTAGCACACAAGCTAGATTTCTAAACTGTTATTTCACTGTGGGCACAAAAACATGATAGACTTAGAAAAGAGTTGTTGGCCAGGTATAGTGGCTCATACCTCGAAACTGCTAGGAGGCTGAGGCAGGAGGATTGCTCTAAGTTTGAAACCGGCCTGGGAACATAGCAAGACCCTATCTTTATTTTTTTAAAAAAGAAAAAAGAGTTGTTAACAAACCCAGGAATCAACTCATACTTTGTAAGCAACAGGCATGTAAGTCCCTGTGTAAATGAATGCTGATCAGCAGTGGGTCAACTTATACTGCAATATTAAATCATCCAACAGTCACACGTATATTAGAAGATTTGGAGTAAGATTTGAATTTTTTTTTTAAAGTCCTTCAGTTAATGTTCTCTTGCAGTTAGAATATGTAGTTTCTTATTTGTGGGAAGAAATAAGTTGAATAAGTTGAAATAGTAACTTTTCTATTTTTGTAATTTTTAGGTTCGGGGTACAGGCGCAGGTTTGTTGTATAGGTGGTAAACTCTTGTCATAGGGGTTTGTTTTACAGATTATTTCATCACCCAGGTACTAAGCCTAATACTTAATAGTTATGTTTTCTGTTGCTCTCCCTCCTCCCACCCTCCACCCTCACGAAGGCCCCAGAGTCAGTTGTTCCCCTCTGTGTCCATGAGTTCTCATCATTTAGCTCCCACTTATAAGCAAGAACGTGCAGTATTTGGTTTTCTGTTCCTGCCTTAGTTTGCTAAGGATAATGGTCCGCAGCTCCATCCATATTCCTGCAAAGGACATGATCTCGTTCTTTCTATGGCTGTATAGTATTCCATAGTGTATATGTACCACATTATCTTTATCTAGTCTGTCATTGATGGGTTTTTAGGTTGATGAGTAGCTTTTTTAATGTAACTTTTCTGCAGAAGTACTAGAGACTTCAAGCTATCTGATTTAAAGGTAAAAAAGACATTTGTTAGTGGCAGGTGAGTGTAGGTTATCAATTGCAAGACAGCTAATTATATTCAGTCAGTTTGAGATCAGCCCTAAACTGGAAGAAAATGTTATTTAAATGCTCAACCATAGCTAAGACATTGTTAAACTAAAATGATTCCTTCAGAGTGGCAATTTATCATAAATCTGTGTCTAAATGAATAACTGCAAACTTAGGAAATAGTGATGGGTTCTCTTAAGTTGCAATAACAGAAAAACACTGGAGAATACATTGAAAAGGAAAACAGAAACAGTGGCCTAGCCTGGGCTTATGGAAGAGGAGAAATTGGAATCATTTTCGGAATACAGTGTAGTTTGATTTCTGTTATTTTGTCACTCTATCCACAGCAAGCTTCCTTTCTCACTGTTTCTGTTTCTCCATGCTTGGCAGCTGTTCCATCATTATAGAGAATCAGTTTCTCTCCGTCTTCATTTTTGCTGCATCTGCCATTACCGACTTTCTGCTCTGTTTTTTGGCCTTGTGTTTTCCTCTGGCTTAACTGCCTTCTTTCCAAGTGTCTCTGTTCCTATCCCCTCTACCAATTTGCCACTTTCTTACTTCCTTTGTCCTTCAACTGTGTAGGAAGGCAGACCTGAATGGTTATGTTAATGATGAGGGGGTGTAGCTCCTGTTATACAGTTTTTGTCTAGGGCCCTCACATGGACAGCAAGCTAGCTTGGAAAGTAGCAACCAACCCCTGGCACAGAATTCCCTGCCTATGGCCTTGTGAATTGATGATTCAAAGGTCCTAGCAGCCCAGTGTGTCCTCTTCTTTCTGTACTTGCTGGTTCTCCCTTCTCTCTTACTGAACAATTTATAACTTCCTGTGTGGTGTCCTTTGCACCTGCCTGTACCCATTACCCTCTCACATGCTACCTCCCACTTCTCTACCTTTTCTTATTGTCCCAAACCTATGATGTTTGTTTTTCTGAAATGCCTTTCCCCTGGCTCCCCAGTGACTCTGAACTTGCTGAGCAACTTACAGCTTTGGGATAGAAAGGATTAGCTTGGATTCAGTGGGTAGTTTTAGAGGAAGGGTGTGTGTGTGTGTGTGTGTGTGTATTTTAGAAGGGCAATCATTTTTTATGACATCTATTATTCACTGTAGTTGGAGGAAAGAAAAATTTGTTCACCTTAGCTCATGATTTCCACCCAAAATGAGGACATGCAGAGAGAGCACTAACGAGTCTTTCTTTAGACTCCAAAGATACTCATCTAACTGTGACTCATCCTATCATTGGTTGAAATATGAGTGATACAACATATGGTGTACATTTAACTGAGTCTCCATAGCTCAATACAAACAGTACTTCTAGTGCTGGCCCTGCCACTTAGTATCTTTAAAAGAGTCCCAAAGCTTTAA